ATAATTTACTGAGATTTGTCTTTTTCGAAAGAGATGTAACAGAATACATTCTGGCCAAAATTTATGAAGAAGTTGATTTGAGTTGATGAAGAAGTTTGATTTTTACTTTTTTTTTTATTGGATACGTTTTATAGCAGAAAGTTAAAAAAATACTGGGGTTTTTTTTTCAAGATTTTCGGTCTTTTTTAAGTTTATATCGTAAAAAAATAAAAAACCAAGTGGTGATTAAATACCACCAAAAGCAAGCTCTATTTGTGTGAAAACAAAATTATATAAATTTTGTTTGGGTACAGCACTGCATGTCTGCAAAAGTTGTGCCGAATAGTAAAAAAAAAAAAAAAGGGGATAAAACCTTCCGGAGCTAAAGTGTTTAAAATGGAATTAAACTTACCAATAAAACCGAGTCCCATCTGAAAATGAACATAAAATAGTATAAATAAATAGTACCCATGGATAGCTGCCAGCTCATTCAAATCAATCCTCTTTTTTTTTGTTTTTACATTTTTTTTCTTTTCTTTATGTCAGTAGTACATGTGCACGGTCCCCCACATTTCCAAAATCTGAGCCAGGGGCAGACTGACAACTCATGGGGCCCCCTACTGACCCCGGGCCCTCGGGCAGTGCCTGAGTTTTCAAATGGTCAGTCCACCCCTGATCTGAGCACTGCCGGAATCTTTTTACAGCACCTTCCTGTGATTGTGTTCTGGTGGTGCCCCTGCTTCTCCCATCTGCTGTGTGTCACTTGTGAGGCTATTCATTATAGGTTTGAAGAGTGATGTTGGTGGAAGAGACCAACAAGGAAGTCAGAGAATCAATCCAAAATGGCGCCGGTATCGGCTGCTGGAATGGTGGTGTGGCCTGCAGTGTTCAGTGGGATAAGGGAAGTCTTTTTTTTCTGAACTGGGCACTTTAGCATTTTGTTTGGGACCTAAAATATACTCCAGAGATTTTTGGGGCCGTTACTAGTTGGGTTTAGTTCTGCTTTAAGACATCCAGAGGAGCTTGTGAAACTCAGAAGATACTCATCTATGGCGAACATTAACAGAGATCTTCAATAAATATTTTTATCGATCTTCCACACCGGAATCAATATAAATGTTTGGTGACCTTCATCAGGGATAACATCTGCTATTCTGATCTGTGATTTATATGAAAATTGATATCCATGTATTTACCCCCGGTTCACATATCCACGTTCCTGCGGGCCGCGTTTTGTGCGGGCACGAGAGCCCATTCATTTGAATGGACTCCTGTGCCCCGGGACACGCAGGGAAGAAGTCCCTGCACTTCTGAAAACGCAGCCAAGGTTCCCAGTACGGTTGCAATTTCTAGTGCAGGCTGCGTGCCATTAGAATGAATGGCACCCGCCCGCGGGTGTGCAGGTGGTGCGGCTGCACGGATTTTTGTGCCTGTTTTTTGAACCTAGCCTTACACCCTGTTGTATCTTGGGCTTAAAGCAGATCAACATCAAAAGTCTCTCCTCTCCACTAAACTACATCACAATCACTTTTTTTTTTAAACTCAGAAAAGGTTCGGTTTCACCTCCTATGCACATCATTTGCTTAGGCCCTAGGCGTATGAGGTGTACTGTGCTTCATAAAGGAGGAGGGGGGCGGGCCTAGCATCACGTCATTGGGAGGCCTGCCGGCTGAACCCAGAAGAACCAATGAAATCACACACAAACCTGGCGGCACGGGACCCGAGCGGAGGCTCCAGAGAAGAGGATCTTGGCAGGACAACTGGGCGGTTGAGTATCTAAGCTGTGGAGAACCCGCAAGAAGGTAAGGGGGGAGTGGAAGTAAAGGGACGATTATGAAAGTGATGCCCTCATATGTACACCATATGGGCAAAAGTCTGTGAACATCTGACCATCATGCCTATTTGAGCTTGTTGGACATCCCATTTGAAAACGTTGGTCTTTAATAAAAAGTTGCCTTGATGCCCAGTTCCACCAACCCCCCCTCCCCCCCCGGGCTATACAGATGCCCTCCCCTCAAGATCATCAATAGCTCCCTATCTATGTGGCATCCCTAGTTTTCTGTGGCTTCCCTTCCCTAGCATCCTCCACTCTTCTAGGAAGACTTTCCACATTTTGAAGGGTGTCTGTGGGAATTTGTGTCCATTTGTGAGGTCAGGTACTGATGTTGGATAAGAAGACCTGGCTCACCATCAATGTTCCAATTCATCCCAAAGGTGTTCAGTAGGGTTGAGGTGAAGGACACTCGAGTTCTCAAAGGTGTTCAGTAGGGTTGAGGTGAAGGACACTTGAGTTCCCAAAGGTGTTCAGTAAGGTTGAGGTGAAGGACACTCGAGTTCCCAAAGGTGTTCAGTAGGGTTGAGGTGAAGGACACTCGAGTTCCCAAAGGTGTTCAGTAGGGTTGAGGTGAAGGACACTCGAGTTCCTCCACACCAAACTGGTCAACCCATGTCTTTATGGAGCTGACTTTGTACACAGGGGCACAGTCATGGTGGAACAGAAAAGAGCCAACTCCAAACTGTTACACAAGGCTGGAAGAGCACAATTTTCTACAGTCTTTGTATGCTGTAGTAGTAACAGTAGTCCTCACTGGAAACACCTGAACATAACTATTTGGAGGGGTTCCACAAGCTATCGGCCATATAATGTATAAATACATGACTTTTTTAACAGACCAAATTCGCATTTACTGAAGACAGGGCTCCAGCAGAAGACAATACAGCACTGAGGCCTGGATCATGAGGCCGTAAAGCAGTGTTTTACCCCATGCATCTCTGTCCAGGAGACCCCTTATTTTATACTGCAGTGTTACCCTCTCCTGCTGTTCTCCATTTACAAACATAAATTATTAGTCCTGAAGAAGGGGATCCCCAATACACATCTGGTTACCACTAGATCAGGAGTCTCCAAAACGTTCTAAACAAAGGGCCAGTTTACTGTCCTTCAGGCTTTAGGGGGGGCCAGATGTTGGTGTCAGTGGGAGGAGTAATACCCCATCACTGGTGTCAGTGGGAAGGGTAGTGGCCCATCATTAGTGTTAGTAGAAAAAAATGGTACCCCATCATTGGTATCAGTAGAATGAATAGTGCCCCATAGTTGGTGTCAGTGGAAGGAATAGTACCCCATCAATGGTGTCAGTAGGAAGTATAGTGCCCAATTATTGGTGTCAGTAGAATGAATAGTGCCCCCTAGTTGGTGTCAGTTGGAAGAATAGTGCCCCATTATTGGTGTCAGTAGAATTAATATTGCCCCCTAGTTGGTATCAGTGGAAGGAACCATCATTGGCATCAGTAGGAAGAATAGTACCCCATCATTGGTGTCAGTGGGAGGAATAGTGTCCCATCATTGGTATCAGTGGGAGGAATAGTGCCCCATCGTTGGTATCAGTGGGAGGAATAGTGTCCCATCATTGGTATCAGTGGGAGGAATAGTGCCCCATCGTTGGTATCAGTGGGAGGAATAGTGTCCCATCATTGGTATCAGTGGAAGGAATAGTGCCCCTTTGTTGGTATCAGTGGGAGGAATAGTGCCCCAAGAGCCAGATAAAGGCAAATAAAGGGCCACATTTGCACCCGGTGTGAGGACCACTGTGTTAAGCCATCAGAGAGGTGAAATGCAAAGAACACCCTACCAACAAAATCAGCTTGTTTTTTATAGCCCGTTGGAGGAAACAGCACTGATGCGTCCCCTAACCCCCTCCATTAATTCCTCTGCCCTACACCACCATGGCTCCTCTGTCCATCACTGACAATACAGCTTTTGTCTCATGTTTTGTAAAAGGAAATGGGCAGGACAAGTATTTTGGGGTGTGTGGTGTAGGAAAGGAGGAGAAGAGTGCTCCTCTGTGACCAAGCCAGGCAGTGTGGGGCGAAACATGTCAGAGGGCATGGCCGGAGCGATGGCTGAGGCCATCTTCATACTAGATTCCACATGTGGTTAGAGCGGCGTCCTTTCCTACATCACACTTGCAAGACTGGATACCATTGTGGACACCGCTCCCCCTTCATACCAGTGAGGCGACTATTGGAGCGGCGCCACCACGCTACACATATTTTGGGGTGTGGTTTGAAACAATGGGGTGTGGCTTGTTTCTACACAAATGGTGATAATGCCACTCCAGTGCGTCTCATCTTTATGGAGGTATGTACTGCTAGCCTTTACCTTACTCCACCCAATGGGATTACCGTATCTCCCGTACATGTAGTATTATTAGTATTTCAGGTACTTATATAGTGGTGTCAATTTACGCAGCACTTTACATATATATTGTACATTCACATCAGTCCCTAACCCTCAAGGGGCGTACAATCTAAGGTCCCTAACCCTCAAGGGGCGTACAATCTAAGGTCCCTAACCCTCAAGGGGCGTACAGTCTAAGGTCCCTAACCCTCAAGGGGCGTACAATCTAAGGTCCCTAACCCTCAAGGGGCGTACAATCTAAGGTCCCTAACTTTCAAGGGGCGTACAATCTAAGGCCCCTAACCCTCAAGGGGCGTACAATCTAAGGTCCCTAACCCTCAAGGGGCGTACAATCTAAGGTCCCTAACCCTCAAGGGGCGTACAATCTAAGGTCCCTAACCCTCAAGGGGCGTACAATCTAAGGTCCCTAACTCACATTCATACATACACATACTACGGCCAACTTAGACAGGAACCTATTAACCTACCAGCATGTCTTTGGAGTGTAGGAGGAAACCGGAGTACCTGGAGGAAACCCACGCAGGCACAGGGAGAACATGCAAACTCCAGGCAGGTGGTGTCGTGGTTGGGAATTAAACCAACGACCCGAGTACTGCCAGGCGGAAGTGCTAACCATTTAGCCACTGTGCTGCCTGCTTGTTACCCCATGTGAAAATGTTCTCTAAATAATAACTAGAACACTATAGATTGATGTTTTCAGCATTTGGTTTATTATTCGCTTGATATACGTTTGTATGTATGTGTCCCCTTACCCCTCCTGCTGGTTCTAACCGGACATCATACTGGAGGATTTTAGAATGTCCTGGTGATGGAAACATACTTTTTAGTGCATGTGGGTTTTGCTTGGTGTTGGTTTTGGTTGGCTCTGTAGTCGGGCCCGCTCTTGATTACTTCTCAGGACCTGGTTTATGAAGAATTCACTCTCCTGTCCCACATCAGTCAGCCGCAGATCGAACTCCAGCAGGGTTTTGTTCTCCGACATCCCTTCCAGCAGCTGCTTCCCACCATCCTGGAGACACAATGGAGATCATATGATGCCAGACATGTAATAACTCCAAGGCCCTCATCAGACTCATAACATGTGCTGATCCTTCATGGTAAAGTATGGAACGGCATGTGTTCTGTGTACCTGGTGCAGTGAGCATCATTGTGTAGGCTACTCCTGGGCATGCATCTTGATGGGGTCACATCTGGTTCATTGGGACAGAAAGGTTGCAAAGACTTTGCATGGGGCAAGTTCACTTGTAAGAACCCCTTTCCCCCCAACCCTCACTCTGCATCAGATGGTGTCGGAGCCTTCACTTCTATCCTCTCCTCTTCAGGTGACAGTGTCAAGAACTGGTGATTGGGAGGAGGTTGCAAGCTTACTAAGGGCTCCAACATAGCAACGGAGCCGGGGCTGGGGGGGTGCAGCAATGGTGTGTACCAGCAGGTGGGTGTTCTTACTGAATCATTTTGGAAAGGCCAAACTCTGGCCTTGAGCATTCATCTAGAGCTGGCAACGCTTATCAGGTGTCTTCAAAATTTATTGGCTGCATGCTTGTTCCAGGTCAGCAAACCACATGGCTAGGTCAGGACACCTCAAACTGAAGGCACATGCTCAGTTTGGTGTGTATTGCTAGGACCCTGCATTCACTATATCGGCTCTCCCCGGACCCTGCATTCACTATATCTGGTCTCCAGGGCCCTGCATTCACTATATCCGCTCTCCTCGGACCCTGCATTCACTATATCCGCTCTCCCCAGACCCTGCATTTACTATATCCGGTTTCCCCGGACCCCGCATTCACTATATCCGCTCTCCCCAGACCCTGCATTCACTATATCCGCTCTCCCCGGACCCTGCATTCACTATATCCGGTTTCCCCGGACCCCGCATTCACTATATTTGCTCTCCCGGGACCCCGCATTCACTATATGCGCTCTCCCCGGACCCTGCATTCACTATATGCGCTCTCCCTGGACCCCACAGTCACTATATCTGCTCTCCTCGGACCCCGCATTCACTATATCCGCTCTCCCCAGACCCTGCATTCACTATATCCGGTTTCCCCGGACCCTGCATTCACTATATTCGCTCTCCCGGGACCCCGCATTCACTATATGCGCTCTCCCTGGACCCCACAGTCACTATATCTGCTCTCCTCGGACCCCGCATTCACTATATCCGGTTTCCCCGGACCCTGCATTCACTATATTCGCTCTCCCGGGACCCCGCATTCACTATATGCGCTCTCCCTGGACCCCACAGTCACTATATCTGCTCTCCTCGGACCCCGCATTCACTATATCCGGTTTCCCCGGACCCCGCATTCACTATATCCGCTCTCCCCGGACCCTGCATTCACTATATCCGCTCTCCCCAGACCCTGCATTCACTATATCCGGTCTCCCCAGACCCTGCATTCACTATATCCGGTCTCCCCAGACCCTGCATTCACTATATCCGGTCTCCCCGGACCCTGCATTCACTATATTCGCTCTCCCGGGACCCCGCATTCACTATATGCGCTCTCCCTGGACCCCACCGTCACTATATCTGCTCTCCTTGGACCCCGTATTCACTATATCCGCTCTCCCCGGACCCTGCATTTACTATATCCGGTCTCCCCGGACCCCGCATTCACTATATCTGCTCTCCCCGGACCCCGCATTCACTATGATATCTGGTCTCCCCGGACCCCGCATTCACTATATCTGCTCTCCCCGGACCCCGCATTCACTATATCTGGTCTCCCCGGACCCTGCATTCACTATATCCGCTCTCCCGGACCCTGCATTCACTATATCCGCTCTCCCCGGACCCTGCATTCACTATATCTGGTCTCCCCGGACCCCGTATTTACTATATCTGCTCTCCCGGACCCCGCATTCACTATATCCGCTCTCCCCGGGCCCCGCATTCACTATATCTGCTCTCCCCAGACCCTGCATTCACTATATCTGGTCTCCCCGGACCCTGCATTCACTATATCCGCTCTCCCCGGACCCTGCATTCACTATATCCGCTCTCCCCGGACCCTGCATTCACTATATCCGCTCCCCCCGGACCCTGCAGTCACTATATCCGGTCTCCCCGGACCCCGTATTTACTATATCCGCTCTCCCCGGACCCCGCATTCACTATATCCGCTCTCCCCGGGCCCCGCATTCACTATATATCTGCTCTCCCCAGACCCTGCATTCACTATATCTCCGCTCTCCCCGGACCCTGCATTCACTATATCCGCTCTCCCCGGACCCTGCATTCACTATATCCGCTCTCCCCGGACCCGCATTCACTATATCGCTCTCCCTGGACCCTGCATTCACTATATCCGCTCTCCCCGGACCCTGCATTCACTATATCCGCTCTCCCCGGACCCCGCATTCACTATATCTGGTCTCCCACAATACACAGAACATGGAAATGCAATTATTTTAGTAAATATAACTGCTAAATCCTTTTTCTCATCAGCAGTATATAGCAGTCTTGTGACTTCTATCAGTGTCCAGCAGAGCACTGGTTAATCTTGTAGGGGGAGTTTTCATTCTGCTCTAGGAATCCTCCTAGGGGACCCCTGACCTCTGTCTAGGTCAGTGTTTCTCAATGTTCTTTCAGTCAAGGCACCCTTTAAAATGATGGAAAATCTCAAGGCACCGCAATCTAAAATGTGAAAACATTATTCTCACACATCCAGGACACCCAACATTTGGAGGCCATTTATTCTTCCACAGCAAATACACCTTTGCACTCCGGTACTGACTAGCATTCCAGTGTGTCGCTCATTTTCTCTCCCTCACTCTGCTAATGTGACCCCAGTGCTGAGAGGGGCGGGGGAGGGCCAAAAAAAGGTGATGTGCAGGCACCCGATGTCCTCCTTATCAACCGATGATGTCATTAGTTGTTAGGATGCTGGCAGCTAAAAGGTCAGAAAAGTGCACAATGATAACCTGTGGATGTGGGTACTAGAAGGCAGGATTGATCCACCTGCTGGCTTGTTTACAATTTTTGGTCATTTTGCCAAGACACCCCTGAGGAAGCCTGAAGGCACCCCATGATGCCTGGGCACCCTGGCTGAGAAAGGCTGGTCTAGACAGTGCTGATTGGCCCTGTGCTGATCACATGCACTCTCCCAAGAAAAAAGGATACACACCAAACTGAGCATGTGCAGAATGTCTCCACATGATATGTCTTATCAGGAGATAAGAGGGGGGACACTGGAAGAAAGGGAGGATCAGAGAAGTCAGGATCAAACAATCAAACAGCGTTTTTACACAATGGAGAGGATTAACCCCTTAGGTCCCACAGTGAGTATAACAAGCACGCTTTACTGCATCTACAGACTGATTGTACTGTTGTGGGTTTAGGAACACTTTAAAGTGGTTTTAAACCTCAGACATATGAACAAAGCATATCCTTCTATAGTATGTACTTGTCTCAATCCAGAGCACTAAGTGTCATTTCTGTCTGCTGCCTCCTTCCTCTGCTATCTGCTTGAGTCACTTCTGAAAAATGTTTCTGACACCAAGAGAAAAATGGTGACAGGGGAGGGAGCTCCAGCACACAGCTTGTGCTTGACAGTCTGTTTAAAGGGGGTTGTGTCCCTTTCCACCAATCAGCTGTCAGAGCTCTCTTCACTGAGTGTTCACACTAACGCTGTGCGGGATACCGCATATAAATCGCACAGGAATCACACTGCATTCCTGAGCGAATTACATGCAATGTCTGTGAGGTGCGATTTGAGCCATACATTTTGTATGGCTCAAATCACATCGCATCTGCACCAAAAAGGTGCAGGACCCATTTTTTTCACCCGCACCTGAATCGCATTGCATGGGTGTTCTCACCCATGCAATGCAATTTCTGCCAATGGCATCGCGTTTTGCGATCTGTTTCAGGGTGTCATTAATTTAACATTGACACCCACACCAGATCGCATGAACGCCGTACAACTGCAATGTAGTGCAGGAAACGCACAGGATTCACAACGTTTCCCGCACCGCATTTGTATGAACCCGGTCTGAGTGTAACTTAGGCTCTCTGTCCCCTCTGACAGCTCAGACAAGCTTTATAAATTCTGGACTTTGAATGGCTGTAGAGAAGAGAGGGTTTCAGCTAAACAGGTACAACTTCTGGGTTTACAACCACTTTAATCACTAAAGTATTTGTCTGCAGGAAACTGTCTTTGTGGATTAAGGGAGGATATTTATTAGTATTAGTGTAACTATACACTCAGCGGCCACTTTATTAGGTACACCTTGCTAGTACCTTGCAGTTTCCCTTCAGAACGGCCTTCATTCTTGGAGGCATGGATTCCACAAGGTGTTGGAAACATTCCTCAGATTTCGGTCCATATTCACATGAGATACCCCCAGTTCACATCTATGCGGCCGTGCGGGTTGCGTTTTGCACAGGCAGGAGAGCCCTTTCATTTGAATGGACTCCAGTGCCCGGGACACGCAGGGAAGAAGTCCCGGCACTTCTTTGGAAAATGCAGCCGAGGTTCCCAGTACGGTTGAGTTTCCCAGTGCGGGCGGCGTGCCATAAGAACTAATGTCACCTGCCCACGGGTCCGTATTTCTCTGTGTGGGTGGTGCGTCTGCTCGGATTTTCGTGCGGATCCGCAGCGGCACCACCCGCACAGATGTGAACCTAGGGTGACTGTTGCCTTTTTATCATCTGGTACCAGTCTGCCCATTCTCCTCTGACCTCCAACATCAACAAGGCATTTTCCTCCACACAACTGCTGCTCACTGGATATTTTCTCTTTTTCGGACCATTCTCTGTAAACCCTAGAGATGGTTGTGCATGAAAATCCCAGTAGGTCAGCAATTTTTGATACTCAGACAAGCCTGTCTGGTACCAACAACCACTGCAAGTTCAAAGTCACTTAAATCCCCTTTCTTCCCCATTCTGATGCTCGGTTTGAAGTTCAGCAAGTCGTCTTCACCACGTCTAGATGCCTAAATGAATTGAGTTGCTGCCGTGTGATTGGCTGATTAGTAATTTGTGTTACCAAGCAATTGAACTCATGTACCTAATACAGTGGCCGGTGAGTGTATATCTGCAGTGCAGACCACCACCAGGTATGCTGAGTCAGATACATACCAGGCCAATGCGGTTGCTGGAGAGGCTGATGCTCTTTAGTGTCATGTTCTGGGTGAGGACCTGTGCCAGGACAGTCGCTGTGGGTTCAGACAGCTCGTTGCTCCCCCCAGATACAGAGTTACCAGGGTGCTGTTTTTCAGCAGAGCGTTAGAGAGCGCCTGTCCGCCCTCATCCCCGATGTGGTTCAGTCGTAGATTCAGTGTATTGAGAGTGCAGTTTTTGGACAATGCGTGAGCAATGGCCTTGGCTCCATGCGGCCCCACGTTGTTATTGCACAGGTTGAGAATCTGAAGCTGGCTCTGGTTCAACAGTTTGCCTACAGCACGGGCTCCGCGGTCTGAGATCTGGTTGTGTGACAGGTCAAGGTGAACCAAAGATGGATGATCTAGTAAACTCCTGATCAGGACACGGGCCTTGTCATCATCCACTTTACTCCTGTGCAGCCTGAAGACCTGGAAAATGTTGGAGGAATCATTAGTGGAAGAAGAAAATACAAAGGAAAATGTTTGTGAAAAATAAAGCTGTGAAAAGAAAAAAAAAGAGCCGAGCTTACAGCAAGCAATCAGAAAAGAAGAGCTGTGTTTACAGCAACCAATCAGAAAAAGAGAGCCATACTTACAGCAACCAATCAGAAAAAGAGAGCCATACTTACAGCAACCAATCAGAAAAAAGAGAGCTGTACTTACAGCAACCAATCACAAAAACACAGCAGTGCTCACAACATTTAGGCCCCATGTACACGGAACGTTTCTGAACAATGGAAACTGCCTGCTGGAAAACGTAGGTTAAAAAAAGTCTGTTTAGCCGCATTTGCATAACACGTTTTATGTGCGTTTGTGTTTAGAAGTGTTTTTTAAAGATAAGCACAGGAGAACCTCCCAAATGCCCAGAATGCACTGAAAAGTGGTAATTTATTAACTACCGTATTTGCCGGCGTATAAGACGACTTTTTGACCCTTGAAAATCTTCTCAAAAGTCGGGGGTCGTCTTATACGCCGGTACACATGTTAGGGGGGCTGCGGCATTAAGTACAGGGGTTTGCAGGGGCTGACGTCTCTTACCTGGATCCAGTCCCACGACGATCCGGTCCAGGAAGCGCGGCTCTCCTTCAGTTCGGCCACTGGATGTTCGTGCGGCTGCTCGGCTCCGCCTCCTCACCGGTGATTGGCCGCCAGAACTGTAGCTCAGGAAAGGCACACAGGCGGCCAATCACCGGCTGCCGAGCGGCCCCGCGAAAATTGAGTGCTGGAGCAGCAGGTAAGTGTGCTGTGTAGAGGTGCTGCTGCAACCACATATGCTGGCTTTTACGAGAACAGGGGTCAGCAAGTCTCAGTGGGAGGAATAGTGCCCCATCATTGGTGTCACTGATACCAATGATGGGGACTATTCCTCCCACTGACACCAACGATGGGGCACTATTCCTCCCCCCCACTGACACCAACGATGGGGCACTATTCCACCCCCCACTGACACCAATGATGGTGGCACTATTCCACCCCTCACTGACACCAATGATGGGACACCATTCCTCCCACTGACATCAATGATGGGGCACTATTCCTCCCACTGACACCAACGATGGGGCACTATTCCCCCCACTGACACCAATGATGGGGCACTATTCCTCCCACTGATACCAATGATGGGGCACTATTCCTCCCACTGATACCAATGACGGGGCACTATTCCTCCCACTGATACCAATGATGGGGCACTATTCCTCCCACTGACACCAATGATGGGGCACTATTCCTCCCACTGACACCAATGATGGAGCACTATTCCTCCACTGATACTAATGATAGGGCACTATTCCTCCACTGATACCAATGATGGGGCACTATTCCTGCCACTAATGCCAATGATGGGGCACTATTCCTGCCACTAATGCCAATGATGGGGCACTATTCCTCCCACTGACATCAATGATGGGGCACTATTCCTCCCACTGACACCAATGATGGGGCACTATTCCTCCCACTGATACCAATGATGGGGCACTATTCCTTCCACTGATACCAATGATGGGGCACTATTCCTCCCACTGACACCAATGATGGAGCACTATTCCTCCCACTGACACCAATGATGGGGCACTATTCCTCCCACTGATACTAATGATAGGGCACTATTCCTGCCACTAATGCCAATGATGGGGCACTATTCCTGCCACTAATACCAATGATGGGGCACTATTCCTCCCACTGACATCAATGATGGGGCACTATTCCTCCCACTGATACCAATGATGGGGCACTATTCCTCCCACTGACACCAATGATGGGGCACTATTCCTCCCACTGACACCAATGATGGGCACTATTCCTCCCACTGTCATTGATGGGGCACTATTCCTCCCACTGGTGTGCATTGGAAGAGGGGTAGTCTTTACGGCGGTATAGCCCAAACACTACATTTTAGCAGGAAAAGTAGGGGGGTCGTCTTATACGCCCAGTCATATACGCCGGCAAATACGGTATTTCAGACTGTTTCAGAGAAATACAGAGAGTAGAAGCAGAGACAGTCAGTATGTGTGTGAGATTAGCTTAGGTGTGAGTTGCTCATTAACATTTCTTTTGTCTCCAAGGGGGGAAAGGTGTCTGGTGGAGGGAGTCATTAAGGCCATCTGGCAGGCGGTCTTCATGAGGAATGAGGTGTGAATGGTCATTAACATATCTGTTGTTTCCAAGGGTGGGAGAGGTCAGAGGTGTGAATTGTCATTAACATAGCTTTTGTTTCCAAGGGTGGGAGAGGTCTGAGGTGTGACTGGTCATTAACATAGCCTTTGTTTCCAAGGGTGGGAGAGGTCTGAGGTGTGAATGGTCATTAACATATATTTTGTTTCCAAGGGTGGGAGAGGTCTGAGGTGTGAATTGGTCATTAACATATCTTTTGTTTCCAAGGGTGGGAGAGGTCTGAGGTGTGAATTGGTCATTAACATATATTTTGTTTCCAAGGGTGGGAGAGGTCTGAGGTGTGAATGGTCATTAACATATCTTTTGTTTCCAAGGGTGGGAGAGGTCTGAGGTGTGAATGGTCATTAACATATCTTTTGTTTCCAAGGGTGGGAGAGGTCTGAGGTGTGAATGGTCATTAACATATCTTTTGTTTCCAAAGGTGGGAGAGGTCTGAGGTGTGAATTGGTTATTACAATGTGTGACAAGCTTGGTAGGAACATCCTGTGTTCAGTGTTTTGTCCATCTGAGCACCTTGAAAATTCTTTGCATGAATTTTTCATGATGAAAAAAGGCTCTGGACGGCATTGGGAACCGGAAGAGTTAAAAAAAAATTTAAAACGCTTATAAACATGATTTGCCGCGTTTAGCAGTGTTTACAAGCGTTTTGCGTTTGTAATGCTGATAAAAGCGACGTTTGAACGCAAGTTTGTTGCATTGAAAAAAACGATTGTAAACTCTGCCTGTAAACGAAGATGTCTACACGAACAACACGAAAACATTAGGGAGAGTTCAGGGGCTGCTGAAAAAACGCTGAACAGCTCCTAAATGTGAGTTTAGCAGCTGCAGTGTACATGAGCCCTTACACCCTGTTCCAAATTATTATGCAAATTCTATTTAAGTGTCACAAAGATGAAATATTTTGTTTTTCAGTGTAACTCTTGGATGGCATTGTGTGTCAGGGCTCTTTTGATCACTGAAAACAATCTCGGACACCTGTGATCATTAGATTGGCCGGTGAGCCCAACTGAAGGAAAAACTACTAAAGGACGGCGTTCCACATTATTAAGCAGAGCACCATTTCAAGCAATATGGGGAAGAAAAAGGATCTCTGTGCTGCTGAAAAGAGTGAAATAGTTCGATGCCTTGGACGAGGGATGAAAACATTCGATATTTCACGAAAACTTAAGCGTGATCATCGCACTATGAAGAGATTTGTGGCTGATTCAGAGCACAGACGGGTTGGTGCAGATAAAGGCACATTGAGGAAGATTTCTGCCAGATCCATGCATCGGATCAAGAGAGCAGCTGCTAAAATCCCATTACATAGCAGCAAACAGATATTTGAAGCTGCTGGTGCCTCTGGAGTCCCACGGACATCAAGGTGTAGAGTCCTCCAGAGTCCTGCAACTGTGCAGAAACCTTCTATTCGGCCACCACTAACCAATGCTCACAAGCAGAAACGGCTGCATTGGGCAGAAAAATACATGAAGACTAATTTTCAAACAGTCCTGTTCATTGATGAATGCCGTGCAACCCTGGATGGTCCAGATGGGTGGAGTAGTGGATGGTTGGTGGACGGCCACCCTGTTCCAACAAGGCTGCGACGTCAGCAAGGCGGTGGTGGAGTCATGTTTTGGGCCGGAATCATGGGAACAGAGCGGGTCGGACCCTTTAGGGGCCCTGAAGGTGTAAAGATGACCTCTGCAAAGTATGTGGAGTTTATGACTGACCACTTTCTTCCCTGGTACAGAAGGAAGAACTATGCTTTCCGTAATAAAATCATCTTCATGCATGACAATGCGCCATCTCATGCTGCAAAGAATACCTCTGCATCAATGGCTGCTATGGGGATAAAGGAGAGAAAGTCATGGTGTGGCCTCCATCCTCCCCTGACCTCAATCCTATTGAGAACCTTTGGAGCATCCTCAAGCAAAAGATCTATGAGGGTGGGAGGCAGTTTACATCCAAACAGCAGCTCTGGGAGGCTATTCTAACATCTTGCAAACAAATTCAAGCAGAAACTGTCCAAAAACTCCAAGTTCAATGGATGCCAGACTTGTGATCTGCTATCAGATAAGGGCTCCTATGTTACAATGTAACGTGACCGCTTCAAATGTTTACAAAGTTAAAATGTTGTTAAAAGTTTGATTGAAATAGCTTTTGATGTCAGTAAATATGCTGCAAACACAACAAATGACAATTTTCAGTTCTTTACAACCTAATGCCGCGACCCCTTAATACAGTTCCTCATGTTGTGGTGACCCCCAACCATAAAATTTTCATTGCTACTTCATAACTGTAATTTTGCAGTGGGATGAATAGTGCCCCATCACTGGTGTCAGTGGGAGGAATAGTGCCCCATCGTTGGTGTCAGTGGGAGGAATAGTGCCCCATCGTTGGTGTCAGTGGGAGGAATAGTGCCCCATCATTGGTATCAGTGGGAGGAATAGTGCCCCATCGTTGGTGTCAGTGGGAGGAATAGTGCCCCATCGTTGGAGTCAGTGGGAGGAATAGTGCCCCATCGTTGGAGTCAGTGGGAGGAATAGTGCCCCATCGTTGGTGTCAGTGGGAGGAATAGTGCCCCATCATTGGTGTCAGTGGGAGGAGTAGTGCCCCATCATTGGTGCCCGTGGGGGGAGTAGTTGCCCCATCGTTGGTGTCAGTGGGGGGAGGAATAGTGCCCCATCGTTGGTGTCAGTGGGGGGAGGAATAGTGCCCTATCGTTGGTGTCAGTGGGGGGAGGAATAGTGCCACATCGTTGGTGTCAGTGGGGGGAGGAATAGTGCCCCATCGTTGGTGTCAGTTGGGGGAGGAATAGTGCCCCATCGTTGGTGTCAGTGGGGGGAGGAATAGTGCCACATCGTTGGTGTCAGTGGAGGGAGGAATAGTGCCCCATCGTTGGTGTCAGTGGGGGGAGGAATAGTGCCCCATCGTTGGTATTAGTGACACAAATGATGGGGCACTATTCCTCCCACTGACACCAATGATACTTACTTTGCTGACCCCTGCTCCAGCCTGGGCTCGCTCTCTCACTTACCTGTCAGCTGTCTTCCTTCTCTGGCCGCTCTCCTCTTCACTCGCTCCGGCAGCTCCCTCGGTCTTCTTTGATGTACGCGCGCTGCTGCTCAGCTCCTCCTCTCCAAGCTCCACCTCCTCGCCGGTGATTGGCCGCCTGTGTGCCTCTCCTGAGCTACAGTTCCGGTGGCCAATCAGCGGCGAGGAGGCGGAGCTGCTGAGCGATCCCGGAGGTGTGGCCAGGTGACAGCAGCGTATCATCCCCGCCCACACATCGCCGGAGACTGCAGCGGTGTCTCGGTTCCTAAGACCATCGGAAATATGTGTTTTCTGATGGTCTTAGGCGACCCCTGGGAAATGGTCGTTCGACCCCCAAAGGGGTCGCGACCAGGGGTCGCGACCCGTTGAGAACCGCTGCTCTAAAGTGTTTTGAAACTTCCCTGTGCGGAATAATTTGGAACAACATTGTAAGTGTTTTATGTTTTAAAAAAATCCTGTTATCATTAGGAGGTTTGTGCAATAAAATGTGAATTGTACTCTTAATAGTTGATAACATGAGAATTCTGCCGACTGTTATTTACATCAATTATTTAGGTAAATGAGAAAAATATAATTTGCATAATAATTTGGAACACGGCGTATAGGGAAAGTTTATCCAGGGAATATCTGATTGCCTCTCGGGGGATCAGGAAGGAATTTTTTCCCAGCAGGAGCAAATTGGATCGTGCTTTGCTGGGTTTTTTGCCTTTCTCTGGATCAACTGTGGGTGTAGGATTATAACTTTTTTTTTTTTTTTTTTTTTTTTTAACGGTTGAACTGGATGGACTTTTGTCTTTTTTCAGCCAGACTAACTATGTAACAACAACCAATCAATAAAAAAGAGTGGTGTTCTTGCAACACTAATGAAGAGCACACACGGGTCAAATTCCCAACAAATTATCTTTAGAAAATCAGAATCTTTGTGCATCTTGTAATCCAATGGCGCCACCTTTGATTTTGAAATTCGACCAACCAAGCCATCAATTTCTCATGTTGCTACAGAAAAGAATTTTCGTGGCCAAGAATCTTCTTTTCTTTCCAGGTCACAGCTCATGCTTGTTTCTTTTTCGATTATATTTCTCGCATGATTCTCCCATCGATTAGAAATTAGTTGTTTTTCAAAAAATTTCCAACATGTCCGATCATTCAGATCAGTGCTTAAAATTTCAAGTCCTGAGCTACTAGCCAGGCCTTAAGAGTTACTCGCCACCAACAAACACACACAAACAGAGACACCTGTACACACACACACAGACATGTACACACACACACACACACACATACAGACACATGTATACACACACAGGCACGTACAGACACGCATACACACAGATACATGTACAACACAGAAATACACATGCACACACATGTACATACACACATGCACACACATGTACATACATACATACATACATACATACATACACATGTACACACACACACACACACATACATGTACATACACGCAGACACATGTACAGATACAAACATGTACATACACAGACATGCATACACACACACACGCTGTTAAGTGCTCTCTCCTCTCCCCTGAAGCCACCACTGGCTGACAGAGGATCATGTGACCAGAGTGAGTTGAAATTCGGTACACACACACCTATAAAAAGTTGCAGTACTTCGTTGTTCACGCACAGAGCCAGGTACTGCACTCTAGGGGGAGGCAGAGAGCACAGCACACACTCCTTGCTTTGCTTTCACTGCGCTCAGCTATTGAGCAGTCTGACGGCTCCCAGTGCCAATGACAGATCCGGCCTGAGCTCCAAGCCTGCTGAGCAAGACGGCCCAGGGGGACACACTCGCCCCCACCATAATTTCCACTCGCCATTGGCTAGCAGGCGAGTGGAAAATTCAGGGCCTGATTCAGATTCGATGATTGCACAAAAATCAGACGTTTCTGTGGCCCACCAGTGGTTCAAAATTCAGGCGAAAATTCTTAGAAAAATTTTCGAAAGAAAATTCTTTTGGAATTCGACCCATGTATAGCCGGCTTTAGCCTAGGTTCACTAATGCGATCTGTGCGTGTTTTTTGCACCACCCTTGCGATCTGCAGCGGGTATCAGTGCAATTTTAATGACACTCCAAACGCAGGTCACAATTGCAGTGCGTTTACCTGCACCAGATCACACTGGATCGCATGGTACAAAAAGACCATGTGATCCAGTTGCAGTGCGGCTCCAAAATTGGTGCATGCATGTCTTTGGTGCCATGCAGCGCGATTTGAGCCCATTGAAAACACAATGAGTTGCGAAGACAGTGCAGTTCCTGCGCAATTCATATGCAGTTCTCAGTGTGAACCAGGGATAGATGGACACAAGATATCTAACACAACCCGATATATATATATATATGTATACACTCAAACCACCACCTGGGGTTTGGCGGGTGCAGCTGTTCCTGGGCCCTTTAGGTGAGGGGTCCCCAGCATTATAATTTCTTTATTTCACAACTGTGTGGCGGCATTACATTCTAATAGTAGAATTTCCTCACACCACTTCTATGCTATTATTGGCTCTTTGGGGCTCTATAAAAGGAAACTAGAACCCATTTTAATACATATAAGTGGAGGGGGACTGGTGAAGAAGGCACGATCAGTTAACTTTCAGAATGCCATGGGAGCCCCAAAAGCTAGAAGGATCTATTGTTCAAACAGCTACTTTTGATCCATAGGGTGCAGTGTACCCCCTTCCACACCTAATAGTCAGTGCTGCCAATCACACTTGGGAGATGTGGATTTAGGATTCTGAAAGGGTCTGCAATCTTGTTCTGGAAAGGTGGTGAGACCTTTGACAGACCTACTGTAGAAAAGTGGCCTCTTATTTCCTTCGAGCCAATTGTCTCCTCATCACTTACCTTCAGGTTTCTGAATGTCTTGAAGGTGTCAGCCAGCAGACCGCAGTCCCGCTCTGTGAACCTAAAGAGGTTCCACTCAAAGTTCATGCCGCAACCTTTAACCCCATAGACAAGGTGCAGTTCCTCTAGACCACAGAGTGAATTGGCTATAAGGTTAAAATCAAAGTGGTCCATGGATGGCAGGTCACCACCGACCTCACTTCCTTCATCAGAGACCTCATCGACCTCCTCTTCCTTCTTCATCTCTACCTTCACCGGTGGCAGAAGCTGCTGGATGTCCAACCTTTTCACATACTCCTTGCTGAGCTCCGCAGCCTCACAGATGGTCCGTATCTCAGTCACATCAGGTATGAATCGTTCGATGAGGTTCTCCAGGTGTCTCTCGAAGAATAACCTCTTCCAGCTGGAGCCATAGCGGGAGACGTCACAGATAGGCCAATGTTCAGCACAGCACCGTCTCCAGTATTCTTCATAACTGATCAGGTTTGCCGTCACCTGAAGGGGTAGTGAGGTGGAGAGAGTGTCCAAGACTTTGACCCTGTGCTTCGGGAGCAACTTATCCAGAATAGGTTTATCTGCAGACATTTAACAGAAAGAGAGTTATTCAGAAAAGTGACACCATGGCCAAAAATTTTTGCATAAAATTTGAAAGTAATTATTAATGGGACCTTTGAGGCACTCATGAATATGAATCAAACTGCAGATCAAATACTGAAAATGTAATTACCACAAATTATTTAGCTTTATTACTAAACAGACATGTGCAGTGCGTTCTGTTACGAATCAAAATTTGGGCAAAATTTTCGTTATTCGTAGACTCAGATGTATTTCCGAATCACAATAGTAGCGAATTTCAACAGAGAGCATTCATCAGAGAAGCAGCCAAGAGGCCCATGGGAACTCTGGATTTGCTGCAGAGATCCACAGCTCAGGGGGGAGAATCTGTCCACAGGACAACTATTAGTCGTGCACTCCACAAATCTGACCTTTATGGAAGAGTGGCAAGAAGAAAGCCATTGTTGAAAGAAAGACATAAGAAGTCCCGTTTGCAGTTTGCGAGAAGCCATGTGGGGGACACAGCAAACGTGGAAGAAGGTGCTCTGGTCAGATGAGATCAAAATTGAACTTTTTGGCCTAAAAGCAAAACGCTATGTGTGGTGGAAAACTAAGACTGCACATCACCCTGTACACACCATCCCCACTGTGAAACATGGTGGCAGCATCATGTGGTGGGGATGCTTTACTTCAGCAAGGACAGGGAAGCTGGTCAGAGTTGATGGGAAGATGGATGGAGCCAAATACAGGGCAATCTTAGAAGAAAACCTGTTTAGAGTCTGCAAAAGACTTGAGAACGGGGCGGAGGTTCACCTTCCAGCAGGACAACGACCCGAAACATCCAGCCAGAGCTACAATGGAATGGTTCAGATCAAAGCATCTTCATGTGTTAGAATGGCCCAGTCACAGTCCAGACCTAAATCCAATGGAGAATCTGTGGCCAGACCTGAAAATTGCTGTTCCCAGACGCTCTCCATCCAATCTGACAGAGCTTGAGTGATTCTGCAAAGAAGAACGGGCAGAAATGTCCCTCTCTAGATGTGCAAAGCTGGGAGAGACGTCCCCAAAAAGACTTGCAGCTGGAAATTCAGCCAAAGGGGATCCTGCAAAGTATTGACTCCGGGGGGCTGAATACAAATACTGCCACACTTTTCACACATTTATTTATCACAAATGTTGAACCATTTCTCATTTTCCTTCCACTTCACAATTATGTGCCACTTTGTGTTGGTCTATCACATCCAACCCCAATAAAATACATTGTAACATGACAACCTGGAGACATTTCAAGGGGTATGAATACTTTTTTAGGGCACTGTAGTTGAATTCAGGGTCCTGGTTTTAGTAACACTTTAAGCCTTAGCAAGTATCTTCCCGAAAATGTAATTCCTATTGTGGGGGGCTACATTTTTTGTTGTGTCTTAGTGCAACCACCTGAGAAAATCAGTGAGTCAATCATACAAGCAGGAAATTAAATTTCTTGGGAATTTCTGTACACCGCCAGTGTACAGGTGTCAGGGCAGGAGCGGTGGAATGGACGGGCAGGCCTAATGGTAGGGTGACGCACCGACTGAAGACAGCCACCACCCACAGACCGGAGTCCCTCAGGGCGCGGAGTCTAAGCCCCAGGATGCCTTTCACCAGGGCCCCTGATGGTGGGGATGGACTTGACGCAGCCAGGGACCAGGTCACGGCCCCGAGTAACCCCAGCTGCGGTAATGGCCGCCGCCAATGGCGTATAGTTGGTGGGAACCAGATGGGAAACAATAGCGTAGTCGGACAGGCCGGGTCGATAACAGCGGGACAGACAGTACAAGACGGTAGGCAAGAATACACAGGTCACGAGCCGGGTTCAGCAACGGGAGGTCAGATAAAGGGATAAGGCAGAGAATAGTCTTAGTCAAAGCCGAGTCGGTTTCCAGGAGAGCAACGAGAGTAGAACAAGAGCTTGCTGCAACACAATCATACAGGACACAAATGCAAAGAGCTAGTGCAGACAACAGGCTTAAATGTGATCAACCACACCCCTCTGGAGGAGGGACTGCAGAGGTCTGAAAGCATAAAAGGCTCCCCACCATGCTTTGCAGAAACCAGATTGGATGCCAGCACATGGAGCAGCATAACCTCTGGGGAAAGGTAGGACCTTGACAACAGGACATGCCTCCATATTGCATTTAGTTTTTTGACAGTTTTAGAAAATTACAGTGGCTGCAGACTGATATGGAAAAGCCACATGTTTTGTCATGTCATTCATAATGCATATATATCATAACCCCCAGGAGACAAGGAAGATAAAGGCCTATTGTCCTAGTGAAAAATGGTGCATTATGTATTCGTATTTACTATACAAATTCCATTTTCTTCTCTTTTTTTTTTTATGTCCCATGCATTGTTTTTATTTTTTCCACATTTACATGCAGGCCAAGCTGTCTGGCAAAAATGACAAATATAGGGCTTAGACAAACCATATACAGTAACACAGTCGGTGGGGGAGGGGAGGGGGTAACTTTTCCTTATATGGTTTAAAACATTTTTTCTAAAAGAAAAAAAAACTGTTCCTCTAACTTTTAAAAAAGTGGAGTTGGGCATAATTAGTTAAACTGTGCAATGGAACCAACCCCAGACTGCACTTGGGTACTTCCGTTAGACTCCCGCTTCCCCGTCCCGAACACCGACCACAGACACCACAGCTGACCATACAAGACTAGACAACACCAGTCTTGATGTAAACCAGGAAATAGACTAGTTTATTTTAACACAGATACAAGATATATACATTTAAGGGCACAACAAACCCCCCCCCCCCCCCCCTGCATAATGACACAAGGCGGGTCAATCTACATTCAGTAACAAGAGACACACCAGCAGACAGTCCCATCAGGAGGGAGGGCTGCTGGAGACACCCCCCCCCCCCCCCACCAAGCCAATACACATAAACACATACATCCCATAATAGTTTGCTCCCAAGCAAAACACACAATAGAACAAAGGGATGAAACCACATAACACCAAACAATCCACAAAACCCCACCCCAATATTAGGACAGATCACCCTGTACTCCCAACAGGCACAGGGTGACTTACACATAAGAGGGATATGGGGAGCTGAGACAGGGGTCTCCCCACCTCTCCAAAGTGAGCTGTGTTCCATGGGCTCCCCACCCAAAGTGACTCCCGTCACAAAGTGTTTCTTCAGTCATTTCTCAAAAAATTATATGGCAGCAGCTACAAGAACTGTAGCTGCTCATTTTTAATAAACAGACACTCACCTATCCCTTGATCCAGCGCCATCCTCACCCGGGCTGGTTTCTTCACTGGTCTTTGGTCCCTGGCACTAGCAATAGCATTTTAGATGTGGGCAGCCAGTTGTGACTCCTTGAAGCTTCACAGCTTAATGGCCACAGCGCATGCGTAAGCCGCACTGTAGTTTTTGAATGGTCATGCAGCTTTCGGGGACCTGTGACGTGTCCCAAAAAGTTGTGGGCAAAGGGGGGAATTTCCTCTCAGATCACCTAGAAGCTGGAGCAGGTACCTGTCAAAAACTAGTCCCACTTTAAAGTCCATTTTAAACTTCATGTAATTTCTAAGACTACCTCTTCTACAGGCACATTGGTGATCAGTGGGAAGAATGCTCCTTACATTGGGGATCAGTGGGAAGAATGTCTCTTACATTGGTGGTCAGTGAGAAGAATGTCCCTTACATTGGTGGTCAGTGGGAAGAATGCTCCTTACATTGGGGATCAGTGGGAAGAATGTTCCTTACATTGGTGATCAGTGAGAAGAATGTCCCTTACATTGGTGGTCAGTGGGAAGAATGCTCCTTACATTGGTGGTCAGTGGGAAGAATGTTCCTTACATTGGTGGTCAGTGGGAAGAATGCCCCTTACATTGGGGATCAGTGGGAAGAATGCTCCTTACATTGCGGATCAGTGGGAAGAATGCTCCTTACATTGGTGGTCAGTGGAAGAATGCTCCTTACATTGGGGGTCAGTGGGAAGAATGATCCTTACATTGGTGGTCAGTGGGAAGAATGCTCCTTATATTGGTGATCAGTGGGAAGAATGTCCCTTACATTGGTGATCAGTGAGAAGAATGCTCCTTACATTGGGTGATCAGTGGGAAGAATGCTCCTTACATTGGGGGGTCAGTGGGAAAAATGATCCTTACATTGGTGGTCAGTGAGAAGAATGCTCCTTACATTGGTGGTCAGTGGGAAGAATGCGCCTTACATTGGTGGTCAGTGAGAAGAATGCTCCTTATATTGGGGGTCAGTGGGAAGAATGCCCCTTACATTGGTGGTCAGTGGGAAGAATGGTCCTTACTTTGGTGGTCAGTGGGAAGAATGCTCCTTACATTGGTGGTCAGCGGGAAGAATGTCCCTTACATTGGTGATCAGTGGGAAGAATGTTCCTTACATTGGTGGTCATTGAAAAGAATGTTCCTTACATTGGGTGTCAGTGGGAAGAATAAGAATGTCCCTTACATTGGTGATCAGTGGGAAGAATGTTCCTTACATTGGTGGTCATTGAAAAGAATGTTCCTTACATTGGTGGTCAGTGGGAAGAATGTTTCTTACATTGGGGGTCAGTGGAAGAATGCTCCTTACATTGGTGATCAGGGGGAAGAATGTCCCTTACATTGGTGGTCAGTGGGAAGAATGCCCCTTACATTGGGGGTCAGTGGGAAGAATGTCCCTTACATTGGTGATCAGTGGGAAGAATGTCCCTTACATTGGTGGTCAGTGGGAAGAATGTCCCTTACATTGGTGATCAGTGGGAAGAATGTCCCTTACATTGGGGGTCAGTGGGAAGAATGTCCCTTACATTGGGTGGTCAGTGGGAAGAATGTCCCTTACATTGGTGGTCAGTGGGAAGAATGTCCCTTACATTGGTGATCAGTGGGAAGAATGTCCCTTACATTGGGGGTCAGTGGGAAGAATGTCCCTTACATTGGTGGTCAGTGGGAAGAATGTCCCTTACATTGGTGGTCAGTGGGAAGAATGTCCCTTACATTGGTGATAAGTGGGAAGAATGTCCCTTACATTGGTGATCAGTGGGAAGAATGCATCTTACTTTTGGTGGTCAGTGGATAGAATGTCCTTTACATTGGCGGTTAGTGGGAAGAATGCTCCTTACATTGGTGGCCAATGGGAAGAATGCTCCTTACATTGGTGGTCAGTGGGAAGAATGCTCCTTACACTGGGGGTCAGTGGGAGGAATGCTCCTTACACTGGGGGTCAGTGGGAGGAATGCTCCTTACACTGGGGGTCAGTGGGAGGAATGCTCCTTACATTGGTGTTCAGAAGGAACAATGCCCTTACATTGATGGTTTGTGGAAAGAATGCTCCTTACAGATAACTAAAAAGCTAATTAGAGTCAGTGGTTGCTTATCTAAGAGGAACAATTGCTGATTTCTCAAGGAATCCCCAGCAACCTCAGGAAAAATCCTGGATGAGAAAGTCGTCTCCATAGCAAACAAACTGGCATAGGTACAGAATGAGGAGAGACCCAAAAGTCCACAGCTCAACATGGAAGAAGTGTGATGGTAGCATGTTTTTAATGTGTTCATTTAAAGCTGCATGACAGGGGGCTGTACATAGCTTCCTAAAAACATCACAGCCCCTGACCTTGGTACTCTTCTCAAAAGCTTTCAGTCCTGATGCAAGCAGTGGGATGGCTCTTGAGAGGAATTTCATAAATATCAAAATGCCTTGATAGGTGGGTGTCAGGCTCCAGGAGTGACACATGCAGGTCTAAGCCCAAAGGTGCAGACGTGCCCACATAGAAAATGTATGAGAGACTTACTGCACCTGTGATCCATCCTACCTCAGCCAATCTCTCCATCCACTTCCATTGTGGCCAGCTCCTCTGAGCCTTAGAGGAATGAAGGAGGACGGTCTCTAGAGCAGGTTGAATATATTGTACAGCTTGCTGGGAACTGTTATTCCCTGAACCTGAAGCTACTTAAATTGCGTATGGAAAATGAGACTGACCAAACTAAAGCTATGGGAAGCACAGTGGCTAAATGGTTAGCACTTCCCCCTGGCAGTACTCGGGTCATTGGTTCAAATCCCAACCACGGCACCACCTGCCTGGAGTTTGCATGTTCTCCGTGTCTGCGTGGGTTTCCTCTGGGTATGTGAATTGGCTCCTGTCAAATTGTCCCTAGTATGTGTATGTATGAATGTGAGTTAGGGACCTTAGATTGTACACCCCTTGAGGGTTAGGGACCTTAGATTGTACACCCCTTGAGGGTTAGGACCTTAGATTGTACACCCCTTGAGGGTTAGGGACCTTAGATTGTACACCTCTTGAGGGTTAGGGACCTTAGATTGTACACCCCTTGAGGGTTAGGGACCTTAGATTGTACACCCCTTGAGGGTTAGGACCTTAGATTGTACACCCTTGAGGGTTAGGGACCTTAGATTGTACACCCCTTGAGGGTTAGGGACCTTAGATTGTACACCTCTTGAGGGTTAGGGACCTTAGATTGTACACCCCTTGAGGGTTAGGGACCTTAGATTGTACGCCCCCTGAGGGTTAGGGACCTTAGATTGTACGCCCCTTGAGGGTTAGGGACCTTAGATTGTACGCCCCTTGAGGGTTAGGGACCTTAGATTGTACGCCCCTTGAGGGTTAGGGACCTTAGATTGTACGCCCCTTGAGGGTTAGGGACCTTAGATTGTACGCCCCTTGAGGGTTAGGGACCTTAGATTGTACGCCCCTTGAGGGTTAGGGACTGGTGTGAATGTACAATATATATGTAAAGCGCTGCGTAAATTGACAGTGCTATATATAAGTACCTGAAATAAAGCGATCGTTTCAACACACGGATGATTCACAACACAGAAAAAGAATGAAACAACATCTGAAAGCTGTTGGCCTGGAAATCACTGGGAAGAAACATTCAAAAGAGCAGAAAAGGTGAGATAAGACAGCTGTCCACGGGCCAAGAGTGGCCTCCATAATTGTCCCTCGTGGCTATTTCCCAGCTGTGGGCTCAGATCACACTAAAGCTGCAGGTCTTCGTGTTTCATTTCCTTCATCTTTTTGAGGAGCCTCTGCCAGTCTTGTCAGAGTCAATTAGAAGAAATGGGACCCCCAAGAACAGGATACAGGAAAGAGTTTGCACCAGTCAGAGGTCTATATAGCCATAACAATCCATGAGGCCTGGGGTGGGAGGGGGGCGGCTCCATTAGGCTCCATGTACCCGGGACACTTCTGAACGATGGAAACTCACTGCTGGAAAACGTAGGTTAAAAAACGCCCTGTTTAGCCGCGTTTGCATACTGCATTTATGAGCATTTATGAGCGTTTGCATTTAGAAGCGTTTTTTAAAGATAACTTCAGGAAAAGATTATTTATTTGCAACATTTTATAGGAAAAACACTTTTTTTTTTAATTTTTTGGACTTTTTCATTTTTATAGCCAAAAAAATAAAAATCCCAGCAGTGAATAAATACCACCAAAATAAAGTTTTATTTGTCTCCAAAAAAATGCTAAAAAATTCATATGGGTACAGTGTTGCATGACCGCGCAATTGTCATTCAAAGTGTGATAGCGCTGAAAGCTGAAAATTAGCCTGGACTGGAAGGGGGTCAAAATATCCGGATTTGAAGGGGTTAAAGATAACCTCAGGAGACCTTCCAAAATGCCCAGAATGCACTGAAAAACAGTAAATAATTAACTATTTCAGACATTTTGAGAGAAATAGAGAGAGCAGAAGCAGAGAGAGCAGTATGTGTTGAGATTAGCTGTCTTTTTTTTTTTTGTGGTGTTTGGATGTGTTCCGGCTCATTTCTGTGCAGAAATGATTGCACCAGTCTCTAATATATTTTCTTTCATGCGAAAACTCAAAGTATGGTGTTCCAGGTCCATTTGAGTACTGGGAAAACGCTTTGCATGCATTTTTAATGACAGTGGCTAAATGGTTAGCACTTCCGCCTGGCAGCACTAGGGTCGTTGGTTCGAATCCCAACCACGGCACCACCTGCCTGGAGTTTGCATGTTCTCTGTGTCTGCGTGGGTTTCCTCCGGGTACTCCGGTTTCCTTCCACACTCCAAAGACATGCTGGTAGGTGAATTGGATTCTGTCTAAATTGTCCCTAGTATGTGTATGTATGACTGTGAGTTGGGGACCTTAGATTGTACGCTCCTCGGGGGCGGAGACTGATGTGAATGTACAATATATATGTCAAGCGCAGCGTAAATTGATGGCGCTATATAAGTACCTGTAATAAATAAATAAATAATGAAAAAAGGCTCTGGACAGCATCTGGAAATGGAAGAGTTAAAATAATTTCCAAACGCAACGCTTATAAACACGTTTAGCCACGTTTACAAGCAATTGAAACGCTGATAAAATCTACTCCTGAACGCAAATTTGGTGTGTTCAAGAAAACTACTGTAAAGGACGATGTGTACATGGATATACAGTTGCAAGAAAAAGTATGTGAACCCCTTGGGATTACGTGGAGTTTTGCATGAATTGGGCATAAAATGTGCTCTGAACGTCATCTAAGTCACAACAATAGAAGAACACAGTCTGCTGAACATAATACTACACAAACATTAGATGTTGCCATGGTTTAATTGCACATAACATGTAAACATTCACAGTGCAGGGAGGAAAAAGTATGTGAACCTTTGGACTTAATAACTGGTTGACCCTCCTTTGGCAGCAATAACCTTCAACCAAACGTTTCCTGTAGTTGCAGATCAGACCTGCACAACGATCTGGAGTAATTTTGGACCACTCCTCTTCACAAAACTGTTTCAGTGTAGCAATATTCTTGGGATGTCTGGTGTGAATCGCTCTCTTAAGGTCATGCCACAGCATTTCAATGGGGTTGAGGTCAGGACTCTGACTGGGCCACTCCAGAAGGCGTATTCTGTGCTGTTGCAGCCATTGTTTTGTTGAATTACTTGTATGCTTTGGGTCATTGTCCTGTTGCATCACCCATCCTCTGCGGAGCTTCAGTTGGCGGACAGATGGTCGTACATTTTCCTGCAAAATGTTTTGATAAACTCTGGAATTCATTTTCCCATCAATGACAACAATCCGTCCAGGCCCTGAGGCAGCAAAGCAGCCCCAAACCATGATGCTCCCTCCGCCATGTTTCACAGTGGGGATGAGGTTTTGATGTTGGTGTGCTGGGCCTTTTCTTCTCCACACATAGTGTTGTGTGTTCTTCCCAAACAACTCAATCTTGGTTTCATCTGTCCACAGTATATTTTGCCAGTAGTGCTGTGGAACATCCAGGTGCTCTTTTGCAAACTTCAAACGTGCTGCAATCTTCTTTTTGGACAGCAATGGCTTCCTCCGTGGTGTCCTCCCATGTACTCCATTCCTGTTTCATGTTTTCCTTATTGTAGATGTGTCAACAAAAATGTTAGCATGTGCCAGAGATTTCTGTAGGTCTTTAGCTGACACTCTGGGATTCTTCTTTACCTCATGCAGCATTCTGCGCTGTGCTCTTGCAGTCATTTTTACAAGACGACGCGCCTAGGGAGAGTAGCAGCAGTGCTAAACTTTCTCCATTTGTAGACAGTCTGTCTTACCGTGGACACATGAACATCAAAGCTCAAGGCTTTTGGAGATACTTTTGTAACCCTTTCCAGCTTCATGCAAGTCAACAATTCTTGATCGTAGGTCTTCTGAGAGCTCTTTTCTGCGAGGCATGGTTCACATCAGACAGTGCTTCTTGAAACTAGTAAACCCAAAACAGGTGTGTGTTTTTTAAGGGCAGGACAGCTGTCAGCAACACATCCAATATCATCACACTGATTGGAGTCAAGGTTGGCTCACTCCTGGCTCCAATTAGCTCTGGGAGAAGTCATTAAGCTAGGGCCTCACATACTTTTTCCTCCCTGCACTGTGAATGTTTACATGTTATGTGCAATTAAACCATGGCAACATCTAATGTTTGTGTAGTATTATGTTCAGCAGACTGTATTCTTCTATTGTTGTGACTTAGATGACGTTCAGAGCACATTTTATGCCCAATTCATGCAAAACTCCACGTAATCCCAAGGGGTTCACATACTTTTTCTTGCAACTGTATAGGAAAACATTAGGGAGCATTCAGGGGCAGCTGAAAAAACGCTGAACAGCTCCTGAATGGGAGTTTATCAGCTGCAGTGTACATGGAGCCTTAGGGAAGCTTTTTAAGTGGTTCTAAAGGCTCAAGGTGTTTTACTGTCATGCATTCTATGCAGCAGCCCCCCTCTAATACTCACCTAAGCCCCCTCTCGATCCAGCGATGTGCACTGGAGTCTCAACTATCCCAGGACTCC